ACGAAACAGTTTGTCACAGCCCCTCGTTTGTTGTTCTCTTCTCCCTCTCTGCCTACGGTTTACCGGGCAGTTCTATTTGACGATATATAGTCAAACAGAGCTGCCCAGTAAACCGTAGGCAGAGAGGGAGAAGAGGACACTGAACGAGTGGATGTGACAAACTGTTTGGTCGGCGTTTCACCGAGTCATCAGGAGGATGAACATATATATATATGAAGAATAGCATTGAATTTATATTGATGAAATTAGTGTTGTCGCTTTGATTCGAAAGCGACTTCAATTCTTCAGAACAGGCTCAACTCTGTAAACGTCAGCCGGCTCACACTGCACACGGACCTGCAGGACCCATTCCGCATTCTCAGCCTAAAAGCCTAGAAATAAGGGCTTACAGGCCCCATGTCGTTTCAGCCTGAAAACTGAAAACGAGGGCCTGCAGGCCCTATTTCGTTTTCAGCCTATAACAGGGCCGTTCAGGCCCTAAGTCTTTTCAGCCTGAAACGGAGGGCCACTTTCAGGCCCTCATAAGATCGACCTGCCCTAACACTCAGGCACAAAACCAGGGTTTCGGGAACAGGCTATATTTGGCCTGTTCCCACAAACGGCCTCAGCAGGAGCTGCAGCGGCAGCCCTGGCTCCCTTCGGCATTGGCAAGAGCAGCCTCCTGGACTGCCCCGCCCTGCAGCTGCAGGCAGTCAGGAGGCAGGCCGAGTAGTACATAGGGAGTTCCCATGCACTTCACGGGCAGGTAGTTGGACAGAAGGCAGGAGGCAGTCTTCAGGATTCGGCAGCAGCACTCTGGAGGAGCGCTGCAGGAGTAGCTTAGGGCTAGCAGTAGTCTTCAGCGCTGGGCGCTAGTAGCTGCAGGAGTAGTCTTCAGCGCAGGGCGCTAAGTAGTGGTAGTGGTAGTAGTATTGGAGAGAGATGGCTGGCGGAGGCCAGTGAGACTTACCTGCGGCGCCGTAGCTCCAGCTCCATCTTCGAGGTACCTGCATCAAGGCGCCAGCTTCACAGGTTAGTACCGGACTGAGAGAGAGAGAGAGTTCTTCTTCTTCCTCTTCTGAGTCCACCATCTCTTCTTCACCCTCTCCCTATCTGACTTCTCGGTATCTGCAGACTACGAGAGAGAGAGAGAGAGTTGTGACTTGAGACTTGACGACATTGGATCCAGACTCGACATTGGGATTCAGACATTTTGACGAGGGACTATTTGGGCCTGTGCCGAAGACTTGGTGTTGACGACATTCCCATCTCCCCCTCTTCTTCGTCTAACCCCCCTCTATTTTGTCTGTGTATGGTTGGGGCTGGTGCATTCTTCCTGTGTGGGCGCCAGACCCCTTCACACCATGGAGTGATGATGATCATGATGTATGTTCGGGGCTGCATTGCAATATTGATTGTTCGGATCATTGGTGTCTAAGTCTTCCGCTACGCTATCTTGTACTTTGTGAGAGAGGTCGGTTCTTGTTCTGGTCTGCACCGTTACAGCATGCAACAGTTTGGTATTGGAGCGGACCTCTCATTCAGAGGACCCGCTCAATCAAGTAGCCAGCTTGCTTGATCTATTGATTACTCATTAGTAAATAAAATAGGACTTCGTCAAATCTCTGAAATTTTTTTTTCTCGCAACAAATATTTGAAAATTTCTGATAATCGCATTTCATTTTACCTGAAAATTTCTGATATTGGTATTTCGTTTTCACGCAACAAATATCTGAAAATTCCTGATAGTAGCATTTCGTTTCTCTGATATTCGCATACATAGCCGAAAATTTCTGATGTTAACATTTCGTTTTCTAGGCATACTAGGATAACGATAGAGGTGGTCACATTCTCGGAAACCGGATTTATTCTCTTCTGAAAATCGAATCTCCATTCTATCTCGCAATTTTTTTTTGAAAACAGAAATCATGCGAAGCCTATCAGCATTTCGTTTTAGGCATACTAAGAGGTTGTCATATTCTCAGAAATTAGATTTAGTTCTTTTCTGAAAATCGCATCTCCACTCTATTTCGCAATTTTTTTTTTCAAAATCGCATTTTGTGAAAACCGAAACTTTGCGGAACCCAGCCTAGATCTCGCTCATAGTACTCTTCTGACATGCCTCACCCATAACAGATCGACAGATATACAAAAAAAAAAAAAAAAAAAGGAAGTAGTCCACTTTTTTTGTTTTGTATTTATTTATCTGTT